ATCAGGTGCGGTCATGTGATGCCTCACTTAACAATAAATTTTCTGGTCCCTAATGTGGTCGTAAGTTGAGGACTACCTATATTGAATCAGTCATATGCAATTGAGAAAGGCATTCCAGAGTCAGTATAGCATTGTAAAAGAACCCATCCTCTTCAAATTGTCATAACACACTCCTTGATTATCTTAATACACTGACAAGGTAGTACTGTGTCACAATGTAACGGGGTTCTTTTTGAACTAGAGGTGTATTGTGCTTTTGCAAGGGTGGCCTGATGTATGTATGTATGTATGCATGTATGTATGTATGTATGTAAGTAAATTTATTGGCAGCCCAGCTCCAGTGGACTTGACACAGAAAACAAGACAATGGAGTCTTTTATGCTTTTTATTATGCACAGTGACATTATTTACAGCAAGTATTTACAACAGGTATATACAACTTCACCTGGTATCAGTTTTCCTCCTAAGTCTCCCTCCCAGAGACTATCCCCTATAACTCTTCTGCTTCCTCCCCTTTTTTCTCTATCTCCCTCCCCCATTTCTGGACTTGGCAGGAGAGGTAGTGAAAAGAAAGAAATGGGCTGGAATTTACTGTAGTGTACTCAACATGGCTTCATTTTCTCCTGATCAGCCAAACACCTGCTGCTTCTCTGTTGGGGGAAGAACCTCTCTTGGGGTCTTCTGCCCAGTCCTTCCCCAGAGACCAGGGCTTTTCCACCAACAGCCGATCCCCTCCTTCCCCTCTGGGGTCTTGGGTAAAGCTACCTCCTGCAGCCAGCCAGGTCCCTCCTTCCTATTCTTGGGTGGAGCTCTTGTCCCTCAGGGCCTATACTACCCTTCTTCTAGGGAAGCCATCCCTGGACCTTTCTTCTCCCTTCCCAACCAGGAACCAACAACTACTCTGCACACTTAACTTCTCTCTCTAAATATTCTCTCCAGCCACTCCATTCACTCCATGCACAAACTTTCTGTCTTCTCTCCTTCTCCTTTTCTTCTCTCCTCTCCAATTTTTAGGTTAGACCAGTAGTATGTCCCCCAGCAACTGAGGCAGTCCCCAACACCTATATACCAGGCTGGACCAATGGGGCTACTGTCTCAAAATCTCACCACACCAGCCCTGGGTAGCAGCCAGGTAAATTAGTCCGCCCTCGTGACCGCACAGCTGCCTTTCAAGGCCAAAAGTGAGCTTCTTTCTCCCCTTTTATTCACTCCAGTGGCTGGATCATGCCAGCAGAACAGCAGCCATGCCAGGCCACTAAAGCCCCATATGCCACATTCTGATCTGGGTAGAAGCATAAATAATTTAATTGGTCATGGAGAAAATCTGTGTGATCTCTAGGTGTCGAAAATGACTTGATGGCACATAATCAGAAGTAAAACAGTGGCAAAATGGCTACGTTTTTCATGGTACATGTTTTGTTTTGTTTTTGTTTTAATTAAAGTTGGGAAGAGAAGTAAGAAGCTTGCCAAACCCCAAGTGCCAAACAGTGGTGTGGGATTTTTTTCAGAATTTTATGGAATGTTTTAGAAGCCATAGCCCAAAAAGTGGCAACTGTCTGATTTTCCAAGACACATAGCTAAAAGGGCCACCAAAAAATACCTGTATAATTATATGCTTATTTTCAGGTGACAGTTACCACTTTTTGTACCTCGATTTTTGCTTTTCTTGTTCTTCTATGATATCTTCCTTCTGCAATTTGTGTCTTCAATACAGAATATATATCTGTAGAGACTCACTACTAAGTAATCAGTGTGAATACCAAGAAATCCCACTGATGTAAACAAGTCACTTAGAATGAGGAACTATATAATTGAGAAACAAAAATTATTAACACAAAAAAATTGTAAGTTACCCTGTCATATTTTTATTCTTTATGTCTGTCTTGTCTTTTTTTTTTTTTTTTTGCCTTGCATCAGAAATTCATGCCTATAAATATATTAATACAGTGTAGAAAATTATTTTGGGGAGATTATTTGGGCATTCTTTTAGCTTTGGCACTGCTACTCCCTAAATATGTGAACTCATGTTATAATAACTTACCACATTGTGCCACCTGTACCTTCTTTTGCACCCCTGTACTCCTGGACTTAGCTTTCTTGGTATTCGGAGACTCAGAGCAACAACCATGATGCACAGAACTGTGTCTAACTGAGCTCCTTGTTTGCTTTCTAACCATGAAAAGTCATTTGTGTGTCTCTGTAAGGGGTGATAAGATCATTTAATTATCTAGAATCTTTATTTTTTAAAATGTATTAATCATTTTTTTTAAAAAAAAGAAAAATCTCGGTAATTCCTTTGTCCAC